AAATTCAGTTAAGGGACTTCAAAGAAAGAGTTTGTACATGATTTTTTGAAGGTAGAAGGCCAAGAGAATGATCTAAACCTCTGAAAATTTACAACATTTAATTACCTCATTTGGATGATGATCTGATGATGTTTCTGTAGAAATAATTTGTTGGAACCTAGTCCTTGTGTAACAAGGACTCTTGCAAAATCATGGTTATTTGTACTTCAAACTTGTTGAGGTTTTGAGAGATTTTTGACATGATGTTTGGGTCATGGGATGTCTCTAAATGGTGCCAAAATCAAAACAAAAATATGAAGAATGGAGCTCCAAAGAATTCGGGATAGCATAAGTGATGCAGACATGATGAAATTGCACTAGCTTGTGCAATTTCTTATTTGTATAATTAGGAGCTGTACTAATTCAGTTATGACCTTGATTTAGACTCTTAATTGTAGTGAAATATATCCTAAAGAGTTTAAGATTGTCCCAATTCAAATTCTAAAATCAAATTGGCAAAGAAGTAGGACTCTTGGCTATAAAGATCTAATTCTAATTGGACTAGGATTATAAAATCGAGGACAAGGATTAAGTTTTCAAATAGGATTAGAAAGCCTAATTGGATTAGGATTCCTTGTGAATATTAAATTTCTAATATAATTAGGACTCCTTTTGAAAATAAAGGTCAAATTTAAATTCATAGTCCTAAAAAATTTTGAATTACCAAATCTATGCTTAATTGTATTCCTAGTTGGACTAGGACTTTTAAATTAGCACAAGACTTGTTATGAAATTAGGACATCTATTTTAACTAGACTTCTTAAAAGTCTTTAGGACAAAAGGAAAGACTTAGAAGTCAATATTATTAGGGTTCAATGAAATTTAATTATATTGAATTTTTGGAAAAATTGTTTCCCCTTAGCATCAAATTATTTAGATTAATATCTTGGAAGATTGAGTGATATTATTGACAAATGACATATAAGATCTTCAATTTGAATTAAACATAAATTTTATATGTTCATTATATGATAATGAATTTATGAAGATGATTATGGACTTAGATCACTATAATGTGTTACGGATGGTTGTGTTTGAATGCATTTGATATTTATTTGTTTTATAAATAGAGAGTGTGTGCCTTGCCTTTTCTCTATTTTATTCAAGAATTGTAAAATTCTCTTCTCATCCTACTCTCTTCAAATATAACTTGAGATTTCTTTGCAAATATGTAATTAGAATTCATAAGATTGTATTAGATAGAAACTTTTGTGATTCCAAGAATGGAGGATGAAGGCATCAAGGAGACATAGAGATTACAAGACTACAAGATATGGTGATATTTGTATACCTATTGATACATGATGAACATATGTGTCAATAGATTTTGTTCAAAATGCCCTATGGGTGTCCTTAATAGATTATAAGTTTATTTACATTTAATACCATTTAAGTAAGTATCTTCACTTTTATTTTTCTTCCTACTAACTGTCTATTTACTTAAGATTTTTAATGTAAATAAGCAAACACCTCCCCCCATTTGGATCCAAGAAACATATCTAAAAAATCAAATCTCAAAAGAATCAAAATCTAAGTTTTGGTTTCAAGAACAAAATAAAAAAAATTTGACTGAAAATAAATTTTGAGCTTTAATTAATCATAGCAAACGTACTTCTAAAATTATGAAAAAATTATTTTAAGCCATTTCAATATCAAAGGAATTATTACTGTTATTTTTTATTTCCATTAAATTGTTATACAAAAATTACATATTTTTGTTCCTAAAAGACTTAGAAAAATTTATGCTTCTGATGGTGACATCCAAACATGTTTGCAAAGGATAGTAAATGTGAAAAAGACAATAATCAATAATCGAAATCATGTATGATAAAGGATCAAAGGCTCACCAAGGAGATGTCCATTATATAATTGGGTCAAGTCACCAACTTGACGAAAGGAGGGAGGATCGGCTTCTGCCATGTTCTGTGGGAATAAGCCTTCTCTCCCCTCTCCACCCACCAAACAAAGAAGTTGAACCATGACTAATCCAAATCGAATAGTCATGCACCAGTGAAGGTCTATAGCAGTACCCTTAGAATTATATGTTTTTGACAGATTCAAATACCCTAATTGAAACGGCACGTTACAGTTAGATGTTTCCATTAGTTTTGACAAATTCAAACTTGAATTGAATTGAGGTATATTACAGCTTTAGGAAAATATTCGGGTTATAAAATCTATTGCAGCATTAGCAATTGTCACTATGTACACAACAGGGGAAAAAGTTTCAAACACTTAGCTTCTTCAGTTAAAATTATATTCCTGTCATGTTTGGATGTACACTACCTTGACTTGAAATGATAGACTATGTTTGTTCTTTGTGTTGACAGAACAAAAGTTGCAGAAACTTCAGTTGATTTGTCAAATTTTATTCTCAAACAAAAGTGCAAGTTTCTGGAACTCTACTTCAACCTGCTTAAAGGAAGCAGAATTAGAAAACAATTTGATTTGATAGTTCACTGAAATCTCCTAAAATAATTGTAATAATCTACTAAAACAATAATAATTTATTATTTAAAATCTCCCATGTATTAAACCTGCTTTTTGCAGGCAAATCACGAGTGTGGATCTGTGTCATTTCTCTCTAAGCCTAGTAGGGAAGAAGATTCCCTCCCCATATCCCTCTCTGGTCTGAAAGGCAAAACTCCTATGGATTGGGATGATGAAGATGCATATGTTGAGAATGCACTGATATTACTGTTCACCGTTGTGCTTGTTCCTCTCGTGGACCCTTCAGCAACCACTTTTGGCGCTGCTGGTCTCTCAATATTGATGACTCCTTCTAGCATCTGTACCACTTTTCCCATCATTGGCCTCCGGGAAGGTTGCTCCTGGATGCACCAAAAGCTCACCATAATTGCCCTTGCCGCTTGCTCAATATCAACTTCTTCTAGTCTTTTGTCAACAATGCCCTCAATATTACCCTTCTCAAACTCCTCATAAGCCCACAAAGAGAATCTTTTACCATCTGTTTCTGTTGAGACCTCGAAATTCCTTGTTCCACTCACTATCTCTAACAAAACCATTCCATAACTATAAACATCACATTTTGAAGTTATTGGGTGATTAGCAAGCCATTCTGGTGCCAAATATCCTCTCGTCCCTCTAATACTTGCTAAGGACAAGTTCCTATTATCCTTTGGATTCATAAGCTTTGCAAGGCCAAAATCTGACACTTTAGCAGTGTAACTTTCATCTAGAAGAATGTTTTCCGGTTTTATGTCACAGTGAATTATGCAATCTCGACATTCCTCGTGAAGGTAAGTGATTCCTTTAGCTGTTCCAAGAGCAATGTTAAATCGATTTTCCCAATTCAGCGATTTCCCCTTGTCTTTCAACATAAAAAGGAAATTGTCAAGTGAACCATTTTTCATGAATTCATACACTAAAAGCCTATGACGCCCATCAGTGCAAAATCCGACCAATCTCACCAAATTCAAATGGTGTGTACTACTAATAGTTGCAACTTCCATCCTGAATTGTTTCTCACCCTGCTCAATTCCCTCTAGTTGCTTCACTGCAACCACCATTCTATTAGCAAGTGTCCCTTTGTAAACTGCCCCAAAACCTCCTGCTCCAAGCCTCTCTGAAAAACCCTTTGTATACTGTTGCAGTTCTTTGTATGAGAACTTCACCGGTGCACCAGATGCATAATCAACAAGTACATATTGAGCTGACATATGCCTAAATTTGGGACTACCTGGGTAACAGCAGCACCAAAAACCAATCAATAACGCAACCAAAACCAAAAGGATAGCCAAAACCACAACAGCAACAATCAACACAGATGACCTCGAATTGTTATCTTTCCCTGCAATATCTTGGTATGGTGATGCGTTTGGAACCGCTGACCCACAAACTTTCACGAATGAGGTGCTAGGAAGAATCGCATTCTGGTAACCACTAACAAAATCTGGGGTTTTCATGTAACAAGATCCACTTCCATCAGCTACTGAAGTGGAAGCAATGCAGGAACCACTCCCAAGACAATTCATTCTACAAGCTACGATTCCCACGATGAATGTCTGAGAGGAAACCTCTGGCGGATAAGTTAAAAATTTGGCATGTCCTAATTCTAACATGGTGAAATTCCCTGGACAATCCTCAATCTCCACTTTCCTCTTGCATCCTTTTCTACTATCATTTGCATCAATGAGCTCAAAATTCTGGGATGGGCATCCACAAATGGGATTCACATCTTTGTAACTGCAAATCCCCATGTTGCCACAGTATCCAAAAACCTGACACTGGTCAGTTACAGCCGCCCATGTCGGGGTTATATTCCCACTCTCCTTCGTAGTGCTATAAATCCTCAAATTACCATCACTATCCATCCTCAAAAATCTGAACACACCATTCCCTTCACCGTAGTCAGTACTATAAGCCATAATCATTCCACTAGAAAACGAAGGATCGAAGCCTCTCAAAATTCCAGCAGACTGCAATACATATCTAGGTGAAGTCAAATTTCCTTTGATGGAAGAGTTGAATCCTAGATTCCAGTATTCTATACTATTATTCCACTTTAAAGTAAGATCCCCTAATTTATTAAGAGATAGCGAGTAAGGACCAGAACGCAAAATCTTACCAACAGTAAAATCCTGTGAAGGAACGAGGGTATCAGTCGGATTCTCGAACGAGGACCATACTGGGAAACTATCATTGTTAAGCAGCTGAAAGTTGCCTGAATCGTCAAGAGACGCATGTGAGACACCTCGGTCAGCAGTGCCAGAGTCCCAAATAATGGTGCCGGAGCCATTAATTAGGCGGAGGGCTCCGGAGAGAAGCAAATGTAGAGTCCCACCAGAGTCAACAATGGCTCCAGCGCTATTGCTGCCATCACCAGCCGACCATACTGTAACTCCAAGAGAGTAGGTGATGGCAGCAACATAAGAAGAGGGAGTTACAGGAATGAAGGAAAGCGAGAAGGTGGAGGTGGGAGACGACCAGGATTGGTTTGCATCTGAAGCGTGAAGAGTTGAGCCTAGAGGTATGATGGTGGACGATGAAGAAACGGCGAAGAGAAGATGGAGGTGAAGGAGAAGAAAAAGGGATAATTTGGGCAAGTTTTCCATGGTGTTGGCGTTTATTTGCTTTCTTTCCCCTTTTTGATAGTCCATATCATCATTGCATTTAACGAGACAAGTAGTTGAAATGGAGTACAGGCTAAAGAACGAAGACATCGTACCGTAAAAGCAAAGGATAAAAGAGATTGTTTTAGCCGATTTTCTCGTGGCGGAAAGTGAAACTCTGCTTTCTCTTCGTCAAGGTCGTTGGAGCAGTTGAAATTTCGTCTACTCCCTTCGTCGCCATGGGTCCATGAAATTTCAAAGCTCCCTTTTCTTAATTTTTTATCTTAATTAAATTTCAATAAATATAAAAAATTTTAATTTATTATGACTTATAAATACATAAGGGTCAAACTCAGACAGTATTTATGAAATAAAGAAAATAATACACTTAGGGTAATATTTGGTGTGAGAGGGATCATCCCAAAATCTATAGTAATTTGCCCTTGGTGATTGGATCACCATGTTTGGTAGGAATTAAATAATCTAACAAATCACCATATTTGGTAGGAAATCAATAATCTTACATGAAAGTGACATAGGATCATTTCTTCTTCTTTTTTTAAAAAAAAAGAATGACGAGAAATATATTTTATGGATGTGAAGTGATTTATAATATTAATTATAGATACTATTACTCTTTTTCATATGTAAAAATAAAATATTATTTTTCATAGTAAATATCTGTCATTCTCAAGAATAATATTTTTGCATTGAGTTCAAAATATTACATCCTTTCTTTACTTTTTATTTTTTTTATGCTATAATAATTTTTGGTTTCTCGGCAAACTTATTATCATTTTAATAAATTTAGTTCATTTCATCATTTTTTTCAAAGATATGTATGTAATTAATATATAATTTTGAAGTTAATTTATCTATTGATAAATATATTTTTAATAGTTGTTGATTAAATCATTTAATTATACCTTATATTCGAAAAACAAAACATATTAGTACCTTACAAATTGTTATCTTTATACAAAACTCAAAATATTATTATTTTTAACTATTATATAGTTATTTTAGTATTTAAATGATTTTTACATGATACTAAATATGCTGATTTATAATTTTTAATCAAATATGAAACTTAGATGATTTGTGATGAGATTATTATCCTAACAAAATTTTTAAGTTGATTTGAAAAATATATCATAAGTAGCTTAAGTAAGTCATAAGGGGACGAAGTTTTCTCCCAATGTTGTGCATAGCAAAAGAGAATATGAAGACTACAAAACAAGAACGATCATTCAAGTTTCAACTTAAAATAGCATAGCCAAGTAGCCAATAGAAATTGAGTAGCTACAACCAAGAAATTTAGTCCCTAACCAACCTGTTAACCAACTACACCACCGTTCAAAATTCACAAGCCAAAACAGAAGGCCGAAATTAAAGCAACCAATTAGAAAAGGATTCAGTTTTTTTTTATTAATTATTACCTAATTTATATGAATTCGTCATTGCACCCTTGCATATGATATTTCTTGAATAATCTTTCAAGTTTGGTACAAATATACTCCTGTAACTAATTATTGATTAATTGTCATTACTCAGTACGTCACTTATTATTTTTATACTCATATGATGCTAATGTAGATGGTTTAAAATATCATATGATCATGTTATCATGTTACATCAACATTTTAGGTTATCATTTATTAATACATGTCAACATACATGCCATGTCAGCGTCACATGTCATTGAACGACAATTAATTAGCATTTTGATTAAAAATAATTGATTAACCATTAGTTATAAAATTTTATTTAATTGAAATAAAAGTATAAAGATTTTATTAAATGTAATAAAAATAAATATTTATTTAAATTTTCTTAAGTAGTTTAGAAAAAAAATTTTATCTAGCTGACATAGATAGCCTCGCAAATTACTTTTTGGAACAAGCTAAGCGTCAAAAGCTAAAATAAAAAGTCTAAAGATCATAAATGGGTATGTTCGTAATTTTAGTATTTTCCTTATTTAGTTAGAGGTCCTATGAGGATTGTAGGTATAATAGAATTTCTCTTTTATTTTAATTTACTTTGACAATAAGTAAGCATAAGTTTAAGAATTTACTCTTTTTTTTTTTACTCTAAGGAACTATAGAGTAAAATACTTCTTTATTTAAATTTACTTGCATGTCAAGTAGAATTAAGCTATTATAAATAGCATCTTTAGATATTTATTAAATAATTTTTTAAAATTATTAAATAATATTATTTTTTTTAATTTTAAGTTTAAGTTTTTGCATTTGAAACTTGATTATCAACTTTAATGGTTTGTTAAGTACTAGTCTTTATTTTCATGCTAACTCACTGCGTTAGTCGGTATCAGAGCACGAAAACTCACCCAATTTAATGGTAGGTGACAAAATTATGATAAGCGCTAGTTTTTATAGCGAAAATCATAACCTGAAACCTTACGATCTATAGTGCAAGATCAAGAGGTAGTGTTGAGAACCTTGGAGCAATGAATAAATCTCAAATTCCAATGTTTGGAATGACGTTTTAAAGAAGATCGATTTAATGCTTTAGGTGTATATACCAACAAAAACCAAAATGATGAAAGGCCACGTACCAAAGATGATGTAGCTCGGGAGCAACCTGTCTGCAAATCTGTTCTTGCAAACGGACGTAGATAATAAGTCAACATGGAAGATTCGAATGAACAAAATGATTATTTGGTAGATGCATGAGATACTTTGAAAATGGAATGAATGATTATGATGATCGAGATAACAGAGATTTAAGATTAAAGGTAGATATTCTTTGCTTTTATGAGAGTCTAAATATTGAAAAATTTCTAGATTAGATTGCAAAATAGACAAGTTTTTCAAATATATGGAGATTCTAGAAGGAAAAAAAGAGAAACTTGTAGCATGCAAATTGAAAGGCAGAGCTTTTGCATGGTGGAAAAAATTACAATCCAAAAGGAGTCGTGAAGGGAAAACACTAGTTAGAACCTAGTACAAGATGAAACAGCTGTTAAAAAATGATTTTCTTCCTCCTGATTATTAATAGAATTTATTCCAAAAGTACTAAAGATGCCATCAAAATCAACAAATTACATAAGTATACTATAGAATTTATAAGATGTGGTCGAAGAAATAACCTAAGGGATACAAAAGTATACAGGTTGCCAGGTATCTAAAAGGGTTGAAACCCATTATCAATGACCCTAGCATTGAGAATTTATCTAAAATATGAAAAATTACTTTAAAGGTTGAACTGATATTGCAAGAAAAGAGTAGACCTGATTATTTTCACAAGAGTTATAGTGGGTATAATCATAGAGCATCAAACGACAAGAATAAATCAATTTATGATAGTTTTACACGTAATGACCTATACAAGGAGAAAAAAGTGGTTGGAAAGCAAAGATGGCAAGTGTGAAGGAGGATCAGAAAGCTGCAAGTCTCTATGCTAAACCAACCTCAAGAAAGTGTTTCAAATGCAATCAACCTAGTCATAAATCCAGTGATTGTCTTCTCAAAAAAGTAGTTCATGTGGTAGAGCGTGAAGAAGATGATGATGAGATTGGTTGTGGTCCAAATGAGGATGATGACAATAGCTTGAAATATATGGTGAGAAGAATGATGTTGTTTCCAAAATAAGAAAATCACACTCGATGGCATCAATTATTTTAGATCAGGTGCACTATCACCAACCATTTATTTGATGTAATTATTGATAATGGTAGTTGTGAGAATATTATTTGTAAGGATGTTGTCAAAAGTTTGGTTCTTAATATTGAGAAGTACCCCCATGCATAAATTATTGGCTAGATTAAGGTAGTGCTCAAGATTCATGTAACAAAATGGTATAAGTACCTCTTTTTTTTTTGGCAAATACAGAGATGATGTAAATTTTGATATTATAGATATGGATGCTTGTCTCATGTTATTTAGTAAACCTTGGCAATTTGATGTTGCAATGCAACATGATGGAAAAGAAAACACCTGCAGATTGAAGAAAAATGACACAAAGTTTACTTTATTGCCAATGAAAGGAAATGCCAAAACCAAAGCTTTTAACGTGGAGGGACAAACTTTCTTTACCCCTACTTATTCAAGGAATGTGTTAGAGGCTGCTTTTAAGGAGTCAATAGAGGTGCATGCTCTAATTGTGAAACGGGTGTTATCTAGTAAAAAAATAAAAAAATAGTAAAGCATCTAGAAGCAGTCAAATCGTTACTAGAAGAATTCAATGAGGTGATGCCAAAAGATTTACTTGATGATTTACCACCCATGAGGGATATTTAGTACCATTTTGATATGATTGTTGGTGCTAGTTTACAAAATTTGCATCATTACCAGATGAGCTCAAAGGAGAGTGACATTTTCAAGGAGAAAGTGGAGGAATTATTACATAAAAGACATATCTAAAAGAGCATGAGTTCATGTGCAGTTTCTACCTTACTAACTCGAAAAAAGGATGGGACTTGGAGCATATGTGTGGATAGTCGACCCATCAACAAGATTACTGTTAGATACAAGTTTCCAATTCCTAAGTTGGATGACATGCTTGATAGGTTACATGAGGCTAAGGTGTTTATGAAGATTGATCTTCGTAATAAATACCATATTCGAATTAGATCTGAGGATAAGTGGAAAACAACTTTTAAAATGAAAGAACGGTTGTTTGAGTGGCTCATGATGCCATTCAGGTTGACTAACGCACCTAGTACCTTTATGTAGTTGATGAATCAAATACTAAAACCTTTTATTGGAAAATTTGTCATAGTTTATTTTGATGATATCCTGATTTATAGTCAATTAGAAAAGGAGCATCTTTTGCATTTGCATGAAGTAGTAAAAGTCTTACAGGAAAATAAGTTGTATGTGAACTTGAAGAAGTGCAACTTTATGGCAAATAAGCTGTTATTCTTGGATTATGTAGTTAATGCAGATGGTATTTAAATGGATGTAAAGAAGATTCAAGCTATTAAAGAATGGCCTACCCTAAAAACAGTAACAGAAATCAAAAGTTTTCTTAGGTTGGCAACATTCTATAGGTGTTTTATCAAAACTTTCAGTAATATTGTAACACCTATTACAAAGTGCCTAAAAAATGAAAAGCTCCAATGAAGAGAAGAAGCTGCAACCAATTTTTCTATACTAAAGGAGAAGTTATGTACCGTTTATGTTTTAGCATTGCCAAATTTTGATATATTATTAGAAGTTGAATATGATGCTAGTG